GACTGATCGAAAAAAAAAAATCACGAAAAAAATCTGAAAGGATAGATATGTTGGAGGAGGGAAAACAAATCTTCGAGAGGATAGAGAAGTTGTTCCTCCAAATAAAGTCGAAGATCGACCGAGAAAAAGTCGGACGCAAGTCCCGCAAATTACCCACAGGCTGCACCAAACGTAGTCGGCAGTAGACTGCACTCGGCCAGTCCAACGCGCCCAGCGCGCAGCCGCGAGCATGCAGCCGGACAGCCACATCCAGACCCGGCGAGACTCGCGTACCAGCCCACCAGCAAGACTAGACGAGGCTTGGCAGCGTACTAGCGGGCACAGCAGTGCGGTACTGTGCCCCAACACGACCTTGCTGCACTGGACGGATATGGTCTGGCAGCAACCTAGCAGTGAAGAAGGTCTGATGAGGCCCTAGGCAAATCCACAAAAAGGCCGAAGGTTTGAAGTGAATTCTCATACGAATTTCTAGGATTTTTCGACGAAAACCCACGTTCTCATTTGAACTCCCAAGATACTTCGAGGAGGTTGAGACCACAAAGCTTAAGGACGAGTTGATGACGTTTGTGTACGATGGACCACCAATTTTCGATACCTACTCGGACGAGCAAAACCCATCCTACTATGAAGGGCCACCTATTTTCGATAATTATTTTAATAAGGCCGAAGGAGTCGAGATCAAGGAAAAGTTCTTGGAATAGGTCGAGGAGGACCTTAAGAAGGTGATGCACGTGGAGGACGATACGGATGAAGAGAAGGTGACTCAACAACTGGTGTTTATTGACGAGTCCTTGATGACAAGACAAACTCAAAAAGGGGATGGAATGATGAAGAATGAGTTTTTTACGCCTGTGGACGAGACGGGTCAAAGGCCAAGATGACCTGAGAAAGCGGGGCAAGAGGTCAAAACAGCCCGCCTAAGGCGTTGGGGACGTGCACGAGCTCATATACGAGGTGCACGAGCACCAAGACGACGACCCGGGTCGACATGCATACGACAGTAGAGACCCATGCAATGGCACAAACACGCGCAGAGACGACTCGAGAACCCAACACGGAGACAACCAGGTCTGGGCAAGACTCAGGGCATGAGGCGAGAAGCCCGAATAAAGGAGTGGGTACGCGCAAGAGAAACTCGCGTGAGCGCAATGACACACTCGTGGAAATACCGCGTGAGGCGCGCGAACATGGCGACCAGGCGCATAGGGAAGAGATGCTCACGAGAATGCCTCGCGAGACGAGGACGAACGATGCGCGCGGATGTGCAGCGCAGACGCGCGGGCGGGCGCGCATGGATGGGCTTGGGCCTGTAACTTGCGTGGGTTGGATAGGCGTGGGGCTGATGAGCATAGGCCTGCTAGGCCGAGGAGATGGCAGCGGACCGCGCGAGCAAGCACACAGAGGCGTGCGTGGGCGAGACGCACAGAACCGCAAGGTGTGCAAAGTTTCTAGAAGACTTGGGGACCAAGGTTGGCCGAGATCCTTCTAGATGCTTGGGCCGATTTTATTGGCATAATTAGGAGATTATTTATTATTTCCCTAGATTGTTTAGGAGTTTAATTATGTTGGGATTTCTTAGAAAAGGTAGCTTAGATATATTATTTCCTTAGGAGTAGATTCTAGTTCTTTTATGATTAGACGTTGATAGTTTCTATAAATACTTGTCTTTGTCATCAATTATATACATCATGAACTAATAAGATATCGAAAATCTCGTCTTGAGCACCATTGTTTCGTGTATTTAAACAAAACTCTTAGTGCGTGTTTATCATACAACCGTGTTCAAAATAAGGTCTTAGCGCTCCTTTCGTCATAA